GCAAGTCGAAACCCAAACAGCGGCACTAGTACTTTTTCTAGTCCCAATGCATCGACATAAAAATAATTTAAACAACTCTGGAAACCAGTCACCACCGGCTTCGCTTATCATTTTAATGAAGAGATCTATTGCTATGACTGTGATTGCTGTAATTTCTGATGTCACATCCTTAGCTGTCTTTTTCCTCGTCGGAGAAGTAACTTTTTATAACCTTAATGTTATGATAAATTTAGTCTGTATTTTGTTTTGCTTTATTGACTGGCGTGATCGGATTTTCCCATTCACTATCAAATCCGGTAGAAATAGACTCCGCTCCGAACATGCTCGAAGCTTTCGTCGAGGGGATAGAGAAGCCACGACACAAACTACAATTCCAGAGTCACATGTTTCCTCCAATGTGTGAATCTTTTTTAAACCATTTGTCGGTACCCCAGAAGTTTGTGAACCAGGATGACGGACACCGGAACGTAGTAAGTGTACCAGGATAGGGTTAGGTCATAATTTCAGATACAAATACTACGGGAGTCACTTGGCTAGACCCCGAACTCGTAATAGAACTAAAATAAGGAAAACTGAAATAAAATCATGGCCTAATCTCAACCTGGAACACAAACTACGTTCCGGTATCATATATTGGGAGGGGGGGGGGGGGTGCAATTTTTGGTACTCCCGTAGTGTGTGTACCAGGTTAGGGTTAGGCCATAATTTTATTCTGATTTTTTTCTTATTTTAGTTCTATTGTATTACGAGTTCGGAGACTGTCCGTGTTAGCCAAGTGAACACACCTCTTGCCCATAGGTTTCAGTCCATTTACACAGCTTAATGTAAATTAGGCGACCAAAATTAGTTACCTCCATATTGGTACAGTTACTTCTGAAGCGACCAATTTTTTTTCGTTTAATGACCTAATACGACGTTTACTCGTGCTTTTTGCTCTGAACAAGGTTTGATGACATTAGCGTAAGGTGTCATAATTTAAGTCTCACTGCAAATGACGGAAAATTGCAAAAAAAAAATATGTGCACATTTTTTTTATTTGGAGGGGATCGGCATGCACAATGGTTACGCCTATATCAGCAGTGTTGAGACGGCTCACATGATATACTCAAAGTGACTTCATGGGATGAATCGACTTTTACTGGGCTAATTACACTCATTATTATTTGTGTGCTTGAAATGTTTTCTTGTGCATATTATTATATATATTATAGAAGTGTATTACTCGAAACGAATGAACTTTTATTCGAAATAAATCTATATCGCGATGGTTTAAGAATTTGTGTCATGAGTGGCAATCTGGATTGGGATGACACTATGGCTACGTCATAGATAGGGAAGACACCAGCGGAACACAGAAACGTCTAGTCCAGTGGTTCTCAACCTTTTCCCCGTTTGTGGCTCACTTTCGTTGCACAAAAATTTTGTGGCCAATTGACTTTTTCATGCAAGGGCAAAACCAAAAGAAAAACAAGAAATTCTTCCCGCAAAAATAGGCGCTTTCGTTTTAATATTAAAAATGAGAATTACCACTCAATAGCAATAAACAGCATCACTATCCATTGCTACTGAAATCAAATTGAAATAAATTTACCAATAACTTTATCAATTTTTATAGGTTTGTGGCCCATTTGAAAAGGTTTCTTTGGCCAGCAGTGGGCCATGGCCCACTGTTTGAAAACCAGTGGTCTAGTCAGTTTAGTTTTTTTTACCCTAATTGATCGTTGCATCACAAAATACGAACAAAATCCTGATTTTCTAGGAAAGTGTCAGATTATTTGAAAAAAACTTTATTATTCTTCACCTCCTTACAAGGAAACACATTTTGTACACAAGAAAATGGGATAATTTTTTGTTTTATCACATGAACTGGCCGGTAACTTTTTCAGCAGAAATGTTTTTTTACAGTGAATAACAGTTTTTACCTCGCATAAAAATTGAGTCCGTTCCATACGAAATTTACATTTGTACATACTTATATAAAAAGTTTTTATTGCCAAATATTCGTGGTAAACTGGCGGCGTCGATGGTTTTTGCATTTTACTTTAATGGCTAATATTCGAACAGAATATAATCGAACCGATAAAGACTATCAACTTTCAATATAACGGTATTCGAATCGACGCCTGAATAATGACTCGCCATCCATTTTGCATTTGTGAAATAATGACGGAAGAGTTTTCAATATAAAAATTAACTGGTGACTCTGATGGTCGCACGGTCACCATCCAGTCTGTACCGAATACTTTTTGAGTGTAGATTTTGTATTTTTGCATTTATATTGTTTTTTAGTTGACGGGAAATTAACTCTTTCTCTCTGTGTGTGTGTGTGTGGACTCTCAGCACTGTAATGGATATTTCCCCGAGCACGGATTTCTCTGTTATTTCCGTACCAATGACCAGTCAGCAATAAGTCAAAGATAACATACAAATCTGGGCCGAACTGAAACATATGGGCGGGGGGCACATTCACATGGCTAACACAGACAGTCACCGAACTATCAATAGAACCAAAACAAGGAAATCGGAATAAAGTTATAGCCCAACCCTAATCTGGTACACATACTTCGGGAGTAGCATACCCAAATCTGTGCAGTCGCCCAGACACTTTTTTCGCACAGACAGATAGGATAGCATAGGATTTACATAGTTATCTTGTGAGAGGAATGTCCTGATAAGACTGCCAAAACATATGGCGAACCACGACCTCTCGTTCAGTTACCAGTCCATGTCGGGTATGGAATTAGTTAGCTAGTTATTTTTCGTTTCCAGATGCATGGACTTACGGAGGAAGCCGTAACCGACCAGCTATTCGTAAACCACCCTTCGAACCTGCGAAGCCACGCAGAGTAATCAGAGGTGCAGTGGCGAAAAAATTAACTCGCTCTCTTTCTGTTGACTCACAGCACTGCACTTCACACATGGTGAACATGCTCGCTATCCCGCCATCCGCACTTTGTTAGCGCGGAGTGCGCGTGTTCGCGAGTAGCGATGTTGCAGCTGTTTACTCGTCTCTTTTGCTCTTCTCTTTAAAAGTAATTAATATTTACTTTCCTCGTTTGCTGACTCTGCAAGTGAGGCTGCGGTGGAGGAAGGTAGACTAATTTATGTAGCTTGTCAATAGATTAGTATTACGATACGCTGAAGTTCATGGGCGAGGCGCCGTGATGGCCTGTCTGTCGCGAATATCAGAATATGGGAAGACTAGGGGACTCGCTGACTGGGGGTTACATTTTATCCCTGGGTAAAGGAAAGGGCGCAAGTTCACTAAACGCCATTCTTATTTAAAATAATAATATGGCAGGTACCAGTAATCCGAACTGAACGTGTCATTTTGCGAAGGACAGATGGACCAGTGCCCAGGGAGCTGATTAGAATCGGGAAACTCAATTCGTCTTACCTGTTACTGCTGTACTGTGTTAATAATAATTGAGCTGACGATGGTTGACACGAAATTAGCGCTGGGTTATCAATAAATATATGGTTTGGCATATCATATTTTCGTTTTATTTCCTTTTCATTATATAAATATGTCTTTATGTGTGAGCATACATCAGTACACTGGCAGACTGGTACATGCAGACATAAATTAATATTATATTTTTAGTTGAATGAATATGTACCACTTCTTTTGAGAATGACTTTTATTTAAATTTTGCATGTTTTAACTACAGGGGTGGTGACTCCTCTACGGCCCATGGGCCGGGCTACGACCCATCTAATAGGGCCACATGGGCCATGGCCCATCAAGCTATAGGCCGCGGCCCCATCAGAAAAAATTCAATTATCTTAGCAAAATTTTCAATTTCTACAAAATTGTCAATATTCGAACCAAAAAAATCGCAGTGGTTAGGACCAAATTTTGTTCAGATTTTTTATATTATCAAATTACAGTTCTATTATGAGTTCGGGAACTGTCTGTGTTAGCCAAGTGAATAGCCCCTTTACACAGCTTGATTGGCCCGCGGCCCATAGCTCGATGGGCTGTGGCCGAATTTGATGGGCCGTGACCCCAGCCCATGGGCCGTAGAGGAGTCGCCACTTCCACTCTGTTTTAAACCTCACTTAGACCTTCTGACCTTTGTCTGCTATTCTGATTCCATAATCAGTTTTTATTATGCTAACTACAGAATTATGGAGATAATACAGTACAGCAGTAATATTCTTGCACTTGTATTAAACATAATTCTGCAATAAGGTATTTCATCATTTTCAATCATCATTCGCAAATACTACGAAATAATGAGGAAGTCCTACCCTCTCTGCCTCTTGTTTCCTGGCTCAAGTTGGGAGGTCAAAATCTGCTCAAGATTTCCAACTTTTCATCTCTAATAAGTTACGGCCTGGAGCACAAATGGCCCTGATATATATAGCATGATGATACAATAACTGGGTAACTATTCCCACACGCAAACGAGAGGCCGTTGTTTACTATATGCTTAAGTGGTCGTATCGACTTTCCGCATCCGAGGATAAATATGAAAGTCCTATCCTATAACAATACGGCACAATATACAGATCGAGTGACATCGTTGTCCCATTTCAGAGAAACCCATTTTACAGATGACCAGACACCCCTCCTTTGGGAGACATCTGGACATTGTTGTTCCTCAATATTGGTAATAATGCAGTATAATGGAGTTGCGCAAAATACTACAAAAAAGCGCAATTTAATAACGCCATCATTGAACTCCTTGGGAAAAAATAATCCGATTTACAAAAAAAAAATTTATCGTGGCATTCGAAAGTTCTTAGCAAAAAACAGCAATTTTGGTCACGTGACAGCCGCGATTAATTTAGATTAATATTGAGACAAGCATGACGCGATATTAAGCATCTGACATGGTTCCAGACACCCCTCGTTAGTGAGACACATAGAGTGTTTGTTTTATTGAGCCAAATGGAGGGAAATTCTTGGAATTTGGATAGTGTGCTCTGTGCTGTACTGTATATACAAAAAATTTCAGTTCAAAAATGTGTTTCTTATTCCCATCTCGATTTAGCATAGGCTTAAAGACCAACACGTGTGTTAGCGAGTGTGTGGAGATAATAGGACCAGCTTACAAATTTGATTGCTTGAAATTATCAATTGGGTTGTGACCATGATGTTCTAATTACAACTGTATTAAAGGGAGCTTTTCTGAGCGTTAAAAACAGCAAAATAAAACTGCTATTCCAAAATGGCGACTACTGCTGCAGCGACTCTCGCTGCTATTTTTACAACGGCTACGTCTGGTCTTTCACTGGAAGAATTTCAAAGTGAAGTTATTGGTCTTCTCATTGTTGGGTTTCTGATTGCTTTTATATTGGCTTTCGCTGTGGGTGCTAATGATGTTGCAAACAGCTTTGGTACGACTGTGGGAGCTAAGACTTTAACATTAAGGCAAGCGTGTATTCTGGCATCTGTATTCGAAACATTGGGTGCGATTCTCCTCGGAGCAAAAGTTGGAGAAACTATAAGAAAGGGAATTATCGATCCTGATTACTATAAAGGCCAAGAAGAGCTTCTCATGGTTGGAGAAGTCAGTGCGATGGTTGGGTCAGTGTTGTGGCAGCTAGTTGCCACATTTTTGAAATTACCTGTCTCAGGAACTCATAGTATTGTTGGGGCTACAGTTGGATTTTCTCTTGTAGCTATGGGCTCGCAAGGTGTCAATGTCTATAAACTTGGACTCATCATCGCTTCTTGGTTTATATCGCCAATTTTAGCTGGAGGACTTGCTGCAGGGTTTTACTGGCTTTTGAAACGACTTATTTTTGTCAAAGAGAACCCAGTACCTGCAGGATTACTAGCAATGCCCATTTTATATAGTTGCACTGTTGCGATAAATTTTTTTTCCGTGTTCCATTCCGGTGCACCATTACTTGGATTTGATAAAATTCCACTTTGGGGGGATTTTTTGATAGCGATTCTTCTTGGTTTGATCTCGTATGCAATCGTACGACTCATTGTTGTTGTGAGGATGGAGAAAGCAATAAATGCAGAGCGCGAAATAATGATGTCAGAAGCAATAATGAGACAAGCGAATGATACGAAAATCAATTACGGTAAAAAAACAATCGTCGCTCCCGCTCTTGAAACGATTACAGAAAAGGAACAATTACTAGAAGAAGAATCAGTATTAGAAGATTTAAAAACAAATGGAAATGGTAATTCCTTTTATGGAAACAATATTGGTGCGGGAGATGCACCAATAAAAACTACAAAAGATTTAATTTCGACTGAAAAACCAACAGATTCTCCGAGAAAAACTTCTGGTTCAAAGAATTCGGTGTCTTCAACTGGAGATTCGAAATCGCACAGATGGCATTTTCTAGATAAAAATTTGTCGGAGGAAGCGAAAGAAGCAAGAAAACGGGGGAGGAATCTGAGATCTCATTCAGTTGGTGATCACCATAGTCATGTTAGAATTCCACCAGTCCTGCAACTCGAAAAGAAAGTTTTGAAGTCAACAACACCTGAACCTACCGTACAAGAATTGAAAAATAATATCAGAAAAAATTTCTCTGAACCCTCTATGGTAAGTCTTGTAGAAAACATGGGTGGTGACTTTTTTGAAGTTCACATCAATCGCCAGAGGAGGGCAGTCACGATTCAGCGCAAACGAAGAACTTTATCTGGTGGTGGGCTTTCAGAGTCCGCTGCCTCTCAACCAACACTAGGAGATCGAAAATCTCAAGGAAATCGATTAGACTCTGGAGGGGACGCAGATGGGGTATCATATAGTTCGCAGAGAGGAAGCCAGGTAAATATGACTTTTTATATGATGCTCGTCACAAGCCTTCCACTGCTATCTAGTGATTGTTTTTTTTAGGGCGTTTTTTTCACACACTTGACTTTGAACAAGGCCTTATACAAGCAGGCACTGTAATTCAACGATATCTAAGGAGTTAAAATTGTTGTTGTCCTTTTATTAATTCGTAACATTTATTGAAATGCTTTCAGTGAATATGGTTTTAGACTATGATTATGATTGAATAACAGCTTGAAAGCTTCATATCTTCGACAAATCACAAAAAATTCATGTTGACCACATCTAAAACGAGACAAATATATCATTGTTTTTCCAGTGTTGCTTTTTATCCGTTCAGATATTGTACGTTTGGATTTAATTTTCTGACGGATGGGCCGTAATTTTTAAATGAAAATGTTCTAAATTATTTCTAAGTTAAAAAAATTTGGTGCTCCCGAAGTATGCAAACCAAGATGGCGGACATCGGAACGTAACATGGGTAACAGGTTAGGGTTAGGCGATAATTTTTTTCCAATTTTCTTTATTTTAGTCCTATTATCAGTTCGAAGACTAGCCAAGAGCCTCCCGTAGTATTTATACCTGAAATTATGGCCTAACCCTCACCTAGTACACATATTACATTCCGATGTCCGCCATCTTGGTTCGCATACTTCGGGAGCCCCAAAAATTTACTATATCAAATAAAATAATAATTAATAAAATAATAAGTATTCGAATATTCATTTTGGACATTCCTGATTGTAGATTATCAGATTTGAGCTATTCCTAATTCCAATTTTGATTTTCAGGTTCAACTGGAAGAACCATTTGATGATAGTGAGGATGAGGGAACAGGGCTAATAATGAAATCTTCCAAGGACGACCAAGAAGTCATGTTCCTTTCTTCAGATCAAAATTCGTACACGGGAGCGATCGAGGAAGGTTTCCGCAAGCTTTCTACTTCACAATATCCGGATAAAATCGAAATCAAAGTAGCTCCCGGCCAGGCAGTGGACTCGGAAAAAGGGGAGGTCAAAAAAGAGAAAAAAAAAGAGGACAAAGAAGATCGAATGGAGGTCCGAAAGATCTTTAGTTTCCTACAAATTTTAACGGCTTGTTTCGGTTCTTTCGCACATGGTGGTAACGACGTCAGCAATGCTATTGGGCCGTTGATTGCTCTGTATATCATTTATTATGAAGGCTCAGTACAGCAGCAAACAAGTACCCCACTTTGGATTTTATTGTATGGAGGGATCGGAATTTGTCTCGGATTGTGGGTTTGGGGTCGAAGGGTGATCAAAACCATGGGTGAGGATTTAACTGATCTTACCCCCTCTAGAGGATTTACTATCGAGTTGATGAGTGCCGTTACTGTTCTTGCTGCTTCTAACATCGGAATACCTGTTTCGACGACGCATTGTAAAGTTGGTGCTGTCGTTGCGGTTGGTTGGGTACGCTCACGAGAAGCAGTGGACTGGAAAATTTTTAGAAATATCGTACTTGCTTGGTTTGTTACCGTTCCTGTCAGCGGAGGACTCAGTGCTCTTGTTTTTGTAGCTATGAGGGCAATAATGGGGCTTTAAATTTATAAAACTTACATTTTTTTGTGCCTAATATTTAGTTAGCTTGTGAGCTTTCTGTCTTAAATGGGAGACTTGCATGAAAGCTTTGTACGTGAACCACCAATTTTGTCCTGAATCTGTCTTTCAGAGCTTACCCTAACCACATACAGTTTTGAATATATTGTTATCCTTGACACGTCATTTCATATGCTCTCTCTAATCATTTGCCTCAAGTTTTATGTCTATTCTGAGTTCTGACTCACAAATACCACTCCCTATGCTAACTGCAACTTTAGGTAAAGTCTAGGTATGTCTATTATGACCCTGAATGTAACATGAATCTCATTTTATGTGCTATCTCAATGCTTCCGAAAACAAATATTTGGCTAATCCTATACCTGACATGGACTGTTAACCGGGTGAAAGGCTGTGGTTAGCCATTTGCTTAATGGCTATATTAAATATGTAAATCTTATTATTATAATTCGTTCAATTTCTATATCTATTCTAATCCAGAGCATGCCATGAATCCCACTTTATATGCTTATTCTAATCACCTGCCTCAACTCTTGTATTTATCCCGACTATGAAGTGCTATCAAATCAAATTTACTCCAGATATGATTTGTGCCAAATTAAACAAAAATAGTCTATAGAGCAAAATTTATTGATGATAATAGAATAATTTGTCTGGAACAGTGGTTCTCAAACTTGGGTCTGCGGCGCCCTAATTTTTGGTTTGTAAATTGTGGGGTTCGTTCGTGAGAAAAATGTATGTTCTAAAAAAATTATATATTTTTCTGGTTATGTTTCAAAATTTGTTACTGTATATTCTATTTCGCAATACTTTTTTTTCAGTTATTGGAGATATTTTTATTTGTAATTTTGAGTTACTGATTTCTCAAAACTAATACGTATTCCACTGAAGTTCTGAATATAGAAAAACATAAACTTATGAATTTAATATATCTATTTGCCCCACTAGAACAACTTATGCTAAGCATGGTTCATATTATTCATTGGGTGTCCATAAAGTCTTGAAATTTTTTAAAATTGCAAATGGAATTCATCGATACCATATATTGTTTTGGCTTTCACAAATGTATTAAATGAAGTAAAAATACTTGAAAAATTACTGATCAAAAAACAACAAACCTGGTTAAGATATATCGAGAACTGACTTCATAACAAAATTGTAATGAGACTTTTATGGACACCCCTGTAAATACCATATTGCTTATTTCTTGTACTAAAAAATCTGTCCCTTATTAAATCTTCATTATGCACGATTCAATATGAAACATATTGAAAATATTTCTCAGAATGGTTTTTCCAAAACCTATTCAATTCTCACTGTCTCGTTTTTCGGGCAAAGAAGTTCTTTTTTTGTGTAATTTGAAAATGATTCAAAGACGTTAGTTTACTTTTTATCGCCTTTTATTCGTTATTTTTAGTGTGTTTCATTCCCATTGCCTTTTGATTGTTACTTTTTGCTGTATCGTAATGTTTTATTATTTTTCTCACCCTTTTCAATTTCAAAGTTGCTGCTGTAATAATATTCATAAATGTGCTGTTAGATAAATTACTGTCAATGTAGATTCTGGTACATTAATTGAACGAATTTCCAAGATATTTTCTAAATGGAATTTCCAAGACCGAAAAGTTTGTTAAGAAAACTCCTCATTCTCAAGTCATTTTTTCATGCTATTAGCTTTATTAGTCTTGAAAACAGATGCCAATTTAAAAGTCTTTCATGAAATTGCCTGTTAAACATATCCTAAACCAGTGAAATAACTGAAAAAAATGGCTTTCCTTAATTTAGTTGATTCTTGTTTCAGTTTTACTTGACATTGTTCTTAAAACGTTATATTTTGGGCGCTAAAGATTTTGTGGTGCAAAATGTAATACTTACTGTAAAATGCATTCAGGGAAATTTTTTTTGGGGTCTCGATAAACTGGAAAACTCTCTCACAATTTATACTTTTCGTCATGGATTCCTCTTTATTTATCAGCTTTTTCGCGCCAAGGCTCTGTTTGGTCGACATGCATTTATATTTATCACCCAATTTTATGTGCACTATTTTAAATTACTGCGACTGTCTTATTAGTTCGGTTTGTATACTGAAGTAATTGAATGCATAGGCCAGTGGTTGCCAAACCGCGGGCCAACTACTCCTCGCGTAATGATTCAATATGGCCCGTCGAATTTGATTGAAATAGTCAATACTTTTATCTTTTTGTGTTCTAGATGCCGCCATTTGTTACGTCATAATCACAGTTCAAGCATGTGTATATTCTGTTTCTTGCGGGCGCTCCCTTCTCCTGGTCCGCGAATAACCTTCCGCTTCTAATTTAAACTTGGGATTCACTGACATAGGTTTTTTACTCAAAATTTAATTGTTTTATCGAATGCCAAAACCATTCACTTATTGTCATGAATTTTGAACATCAACAAATCAACAATTGTCATGTTGGATTAGTCCTAGTCTATATCTTAAGCAATGAATCACATAGGTTTGAATTTCTCTTTAATTTTCTTTTCACCCATTAAATTCTTTTTTATTATTATAGAATACAACATTGCATGCTCACATTAATCTCTTGCCTGAATTCTAACAGCTATCATATTGCGAATCATACCAACTCATTCCATTTTGTATTAATTTCCATCTTTGCTCTTTGTTCATTAGATTAAACATTTTGGGGTACTAGTGTACTTTGTGAACCAAGATGGCGAACACTGAAACGTAGTATGTGTACCAGGTTAGGGTTAGGAATACTCCGGGAGTCACTTGGCTAGTTCCCGAATTCGTAATAGAACTAAAATAAGGAAAATTGGAATAAAATTATGTCCTAACCTGGTACACATGCTACGTTCCGGTGTCTGCCATCTTGGTTCACATACTACAGGAGCGCCAATTTTGGTTGTCGACTTCATAGTTACCGTACTTATCATTTCTACCGGCGCATTTTTATTTTATACAATTCCAAGCGAGAATCATTGTCCATTTTCAAAACGAGCCGGTTTGTCTTTGAGAAAATACTTGGATTTGTGAGTTCAATGCTCGGTTCCGTTATAATTTGAATTTAATTGCTATCTTTTGCCAATATCCTTTGCTCATATGTGGAACATTTTTGTTAGTGATTTTATAGTTATTGATAATTGTCAACATTTTCACTATGTAGGGCATTTAATTTTAAACAAATGGAATTACATTTCCATTTCAAAACAAGATGCTGTTTGGTATGTTGTCGACAAAATAACCGGTTCTGGGAATAGGTCCTCTGTCTTATTCTAAATTATGATTTTATCGCCAACATTTGACCATTTTGTTTATTCATATGCTCGAACAAATTTGTTGATTTATTTACAGTTACTGATAGTTGGCCACATTTTTACTGCAGGGCATTTTAATTTTAACCAAATTTTTGTGGAAATCCTAATTCCATTTTGATACCTCTGCTTCATTCTAATTTGTATTTATTTACCAACTTCTGGCTATCTTATTTATTCTTTAGTTACTGCCTGGTAATTGTCAACAATTTTATTGCAGGTCGCATTTTAATTTTATAAAATTTTAGTGGGAACCCAATGTCCATTCTAGAACAATATTTTTTAATTTTTTTAAGGTGTTTATATCTTCATTTTTGACAAGGTCGACCCTTCCTTTCCCTTTTTGAAATGTAAAAAAAAACATTTTTTGTTTTGTACCAGCTCGAAATGCTTTTTAGATCATCGAAACTCTTGAAAACCCTCTTTTTCCAGCTGTAACCACGAGCTGTTACGGCCACTTGACAAACATATTAATAAAGTAGTGTCGAAATATGGCAGTAAGTGAAAAGGTTCTCTATTGAGCCCTATTTAAGAATCGATGTAATATAGAAAGGTTTAAGACTGTCTATGCTCAAAAACTTGACTGGAAATGTTCTAAATACTTGGTGATTTCACAAGTTAACAGTTGTCATAGTGATTCATGTATGCATTTGTCACCAATGTGACATTATCTGCTGTTAATCTCTGTACAAATTTACGAGAATTGCATGGCTTAATTCAGGATAAATAAGAATTAATATAAAATCTTAACTGTAGCCCTATCATTCCCAACATCTGTTTATTTTTAGTACATTCTTTTCCGGATTATAACTCAGATGTTGTTCTGGTTTCAAAGTGCAAGGTACAAATAGTCCAACTTTAATGCATAAACGAATTTTGAGGTGTCAACTGTCAAGACTTCAAATAGAGATATATTTCCTTTTTTCTAGTCTTGGTGTATTTAGCTCCATGTATATTAATTTGAATTTAGACAGGCATCATATTGCCATGTATTTGTGCTTCTTTCTAGTGGTTGTGTGCCTCTGAGGAGGTAATTTTGAACATATTCTAGAGGTGACTTGGGTAAACTACGGACCCGCGGGCCAAATCTGGCCCATTGAGTAATTCTTTTTGGCCCGTCTGATGCTGCGACAACCAAACTAAACCAAATTTTGATGTTTCAGCTAAAAAATAGCCCAAGGAATTTGTTGAGATTGCAACGTAATTTAGTTTTACCACCAGGCTTATGTTTCCACTTTTTGTTTTCCACTTTTGCTTTTGTAATACTGTAAATATTGTTCATAAATTGTAACTTTTAACATCACACTTACATGGCCCGCCTCTCTAGGTGGGCAAAATTTTCGGCCCTTGACCACTCCTGTTATATAGAAAACATAACTTTTATAAGTGTCGTAAATTACTGACACTTTGGGGTATAACTTTGGGCAATTTACCAATTTTTTTTTCTGTTTAGGAACGTAATTAATTAAATTCAAAATCAAATAAGCTATATTCATTTCAACTATCCGGCAATACTGTATTTAATATATATGAGTTCACATTGATTTATGCAAATTTGAGAATGTTGTCAAAATAGTAAATTACATTGACCATATAATGCTAAATAAATGCTATCTTGAATAGTGTAAATAATTTTATTTAGTTTTGACCATAAATTTCATAGCATTTCCAACATTTGTTGTATTTACTTCATTTCCCCTTTTAGATATCTTTCTCTGATTAAAAACCATCTCATGTTTTGGTTCCAAAGTGCAAAGTCTAAACCTTCAAACTTTTATGAGTAAATTAATATGAGGGTGTGTGGTAGGCGTGCTTGATACTTAGCTGCATCGCTGTTCAGTCCTTGGTCATCATAATTGCATAGTTTGCAATCTGTACCAGTGTTTATTGGGTATGATTGGCCATGTATAAATCATTGTTTTTGACAGCACTGGTAAGAAACAAAGATATAATGTGGCCCATTGTTTCTCAACATTTTACTCTTGTGACTCATTTTCAGCGTAAAGAGAAATCATTGGCCAACGAAGCCTTTAATAAAAATTTTGGGAGAAGATTGACTTGTGCAAAGCGCCCTAGATGCTGAAACTTGTAGTCCATTTTCAGTAGAGAAGTCCCACATAGAAGGCTAACAAAACCTTCAATAAAATTATGGGTATCATAAAAATATTTTTTTTATTGATGCAAACAAGACAGTAAAAGTGTCAATGATTAAACTAATCTTTGTGTATCTATCAGCTTGTCAAGTTGAATTTCCAACCTCTGTTTAAGCTCAATCAAGCGTGAATCTTCTTATCAATTTGTAATTGTTGATGTTTCCCACGGTAACCCTATTTCAAAAATCCAAGAGACCACCAAGCTGTTTGGCTGTGTGTACAGATAAATTCCATTACGGCAATGAATAAGAAAGTAAAAAGTCACTTTATATACTTTCATTAATTTGTTAACTGTTTGTTTTGTAGCAGTTGTGCATGCATTACTATGAATATGCCTGGAAACGTTCACCTACATTGTTTTTCACTTTTCATGAACTATAAAATCAAGATATGCTGTACCTAAAATATTCAGTGCTTTACGATGAACATAGATAATCCTCACTGAAAACATTGCAGAATATTAACTTATCATTTTATTTTTTATTTGTAAGTGCCTTTCAGTTTGTAAATTCAAAATGCATTTGTGTTACCGATTAAATTGCACATAGTTATTGCTTATGCCTCAGCTTGCTTTATAAGCTTATTTGATTCATCGTTATTTAACCCAAGGGATGACTCTCGTTGATTTTTTTTCTGACTGAGAATATTTTTTATTTCAATTTTTGTTTAGTTAGTGAGTAGTCTTAGTAGAGTAGAATATTATTGCCTTGCAAGTATCGACTTTTCTGTTAGCTTGATCCATATTTCTATATCTAAAGCAATAAATTGCACCGTTTTTGACAATTTATCCTAGTCTCTTTGTTTCATCAGTAATGTCCAACACCTCTGCGATTTTGTTCAAATGTTATTTTCCTTTTCCCAGACAATTTATGAAAGCCTTCACCCTTCATGCATTGTTTGGTTAATTTTCCTTTTTTGTTGATTGATTTTTTTCTTTTTAATTTATCATTCATGTATATTGCAACAAATGTCTCGTTACTCCATAATCTGAATTGCCAATCAATAAAGTATTGATGATGTGGGGTAGTCATGGTTTGTTTATGGCACCCGGAATTTAGACTGGAATTCTGTATCATTCAAATGTCGATTGTGATCATGCAACCATCCTTATTCCAGACTGTTTAATTTTTGTGGGAAAAATCATGATATGTGATTCAGACTTTATTTGATAATTTTTCTTTCATGGTAATGAATGCCGGATATAACTCAGTACTGCTGATAAAACGGCACTCCAGAAGTGTGTGTACCAATATAGAGGTAACTATTTTTGTTCGCCTACTTCACATAAGTTGTGTAAAGGGACTGAAACCTATGGGCAGGGAGTATATTCACATTCTAACGCAGACAGTCTCGAACTGGTAGTAGAACAAAAATAAAGATTGACTTGGCCTAACCCTAACCTGGTACACATACTACGGGAGTACCGATAAATGTTATTTTGTTAGTAACATAATTTTGAGGCAATATAAGTTTTTGGGTTCTGATCTGTCCAAGTTCATTTCTTAGATATTTTGCAATAATGTTTGTTTTTTAAGTTCCAGAATTGTTTTTTCTTTAAAACTTAATACCAAGACTTGAGACTGGAAAATAGTTGATCAAACATCTGATCTGTGGAAACAGTTCTTTGCAAATCGTTCATTTATTCTAAACACTTATACCTCTTATCTCTAGGGTTAGGTTGTGAAAACAAGAATTGGTTAGGTCTTCAAATAATAGAATATCCTTGTTTCCGAAAACAAATAACTGGCCAACTAATCCCATTCCCGACATGGACTGGTAACCGGACGAGAAGCCCTGGTTTGCCATATGATTAAGCCGTCTTATCAGCTTTCCTCTCCCCCGGGATAAATATGTAAATCCTATCCCAGTATAATTGAAAATGTTTTTTTTTCTTCATATTTGGTTACAATTCTTATCAAATTATGAATTATATTCAATCGGCTGACTGCGTTTGTTATTACCAATTAGCACAATTTTGGGAGCAATGATTGTTTTATTTTATTTGTTTTGATTTAACCCGGAAAACTGAATGCCGATTGGGCCTGTGTTTGATTTTAAAAAAATGTTTTTTTTTACATGAAAATAGTTATTTGCAAATCAGGATTGAAATTTATGCTGTAGATCGAATAATACGGTTATTGATAGTCCAAATCCATCGTATCGCTCCCTCCTGTCCATGCTAAAACAAATTTATTGCTGTTACTATTTTATTGATGACTGTATTTTCTAGATGACTCTTTCTCTCTCTTGTGTAGAAATAATTCATCATTGTATTCAGTTCCCGGTAGTTGGATCTGCATACAAAACACTCGTTTATTGGTTTGTGCACTTTTCCTTTGAGCAACGTTACAATAAATCTCATATCGATTGGACAAGTGATTGTGTTTATCTTTTAAATGTGAGTAGGGTGGCGTAGAAAGTTATTTTGTTGAACATGTTGTTACACCAGGATGGTATGAGACAGGGGGGTACAACCTGCTACAGGGGTTGGTGACTCCTCTACGGTCTATGGGCCGGGGCCACGGACATCCAATTGGGCCACATGGGCCGTGGCCCATCAAGCTATGGGCCGCGGCCAGATCAGAAAAAATACAATTATCTTACCAAAATTTTAAATTTTTACAAAATTGCCAATATTCGAATCAAAAAAAAAAAATCGCGGAATTCCACCAAATTATATCAAAATAAAGCAAAATACAAAGCTACAGAAAAGGATAATCCTGTAGT